ACGAATGCTGAGGGTCGAAGTTTCATGCCAAGGGTCGATGGAAACCTCATGCCTCCTAGGATGTTGTTATGCATTCTGTTTATTTTCGCATTTGTAAACTTTTTCACTTATGGATCTGCTTCCACTGTCGTGGACGTTGGACGTTTTTCAGCAACATTATCTGGGGAACACTCCGCAGGTGCGATGGTTCCATCGGTTCTTGGATGCTGCCGGACTGAGAATGCTGTACGAACAAATCACAGCAACCGATGTCTGTCGTGGTTTAACAGAACCATCCGGTGAGAGATTTGAAGCCTGTTCAAGCCGTTCTCCTGTGAGGAGCAAAAGATGGTCTCAGACATGACAGAGACCAACATTACTCCCTAAAACAGCTGCCAAAGGCGGATTTACTTGAGACGAAAAACGTGACTTTTACAGCAGCAACCAACGTTGTCTGAATCGCTCAGAGAAGCCACAACCTCAGACATCGTTGATACCTCAGATAACGATGACAACAACATCCTGTGTTCCTGGATTAACAGCGTGGGATTTCAAAACAATGCAAAGCTCATAAGACTGGTCGCCAAACACACGCACGTGCACATAGTATGCATCGAGAAACAAATACGAAATAGCTATACCCCTCTTCTGCAGTGTTGTCCTGTACACTGGCTGCACGCAGCGCATTCATTTTATCCATAAGTGTTAACGTATCTCCTATAAAAAAACTGAGTCGAATATTCATGCATCAGTGCAAATCTTCAGTGATAACACTGTGGGGGGAGGAAGCAGCATTTGCCGGCGATGCTTAACTCAACATAATCATTCTCTAATGTGTTTCGTATTCTTGTTGCTGTGACAGTCGTAGAATAGGATCATATCAGATCAGATATTTATCATTATCTATCATCATCATTTATCATACTACATTGTTTTTTTACAGTCGCTCTGATTTGGATCGTTATTTAGGCTGGTGAAAAAATTGAGCTTTTCAGTGATTTCATATCAGCAGTGAAAATCGTCATACGTTGATACCGAGACCTGTCGACTTCAAGCGTAAGCATTAGCGCAATAAGGAGTCTAACTGATTGGCTGTCCACAAGTTGGCTGTAGCCGTTGCTCAACAACCTCTGTAGTGCCGTTCTGACTGAAGTGCGCTCGAAACGAAATGAGTTTTTCGCCTTGCACCGAAAGGGTTAAGAGTTTCGAAACCTGGATACGGCCCTCAAGCAATGTTTTTCTTCGAGGTTGGCAAAAAGTCGACGAATCGGTCGGCGGGGACAAATCGTTCAGTTTTTATGCGTTAGTCAAGCTGTAAAAACTTAAGCGACGCCTGAAAGCCGTTTTTCGTACATTTTTACAGTCGTAATCGAAACATGTGCTCCAGCTTTTAGCCAGACAGTCACTCAGAGGCAAAAAATTCACACTGAGTGCGATGTCAGGAAGAACAACGCCGTGCTTTGTGCCTCGGGCATCAAATGCTTTTTTTCTAGTCACACCAGGGGATGAAAGTACTCATATAAGTAGCAGCAGTAATAAGGAGGAGTAAAAAATGTAAAATAACTATTTGAACAAAAATAAGGGTAAGTGTTAGAAAGTGGTGTAGTAAGCTATTGCACCAGTTGGAAACGATGGAATTCGCACGTGAAAGGT